TATATGCCGAACACATTTGCAAAAAATGGCACAAAGAAGGTGGGTGGGAGAAAACCATAATGTGCTAAGGAAATGATGACAGATGATAATAATTATAACAATTTATTCTTGGGTTTATAACATTAATGGATAACAATGTGTATGACAGTACCACAAATACAATATACCTAAAAATACCTTTAACAGAAGAGGTGTAAATCTATTATCTGAAAACTGTAAAATATTGTTGAAAGAAATTAAAGATCTAAGTAACTGGAAAAACATCCCATGTTCATGAATTGCAAGACTTAACTGTTAAGATGACAGTGCTCCCCAAATTGATCTAGAGATTCAATACAGTTACTATAAGAAAGAATCTTAGCTGACTTCTTTATAGAAATTGACAAGCAATTCTAAAATTCTTATAAAATTTCAAAGAACCCAGAGGAGCTAAAAAGTAGACAAAGGATCTGAATAGACAAATCTCCAGTGAATGTAGGCAGATGGCTAATAAGCATGTGAAATGATGGTCAACATCAGAGAAATGCAAATCAATGCCACAATGAACTACCACTTCACACTCACTAGGTTGCCTGTAATCTAATAACAAGTATTGGCAAGAGTATGAAGAAATTAGTACCTTCATACATTGCTGTTGGAAACCTAAAGGCATATAAAGCTTTGGAATAGTTTGGCAGTTCTTCAAACTGTTAAACATAGAGTTACCGTATGACCCAATAATTTCACTTCTAGATGTATACCCCAGAGAAATAAAAACATATGTTCACATATAAATTTTAAAAGAAAACAAGTTTGTGCACGAATGTTTATAACACCATTATATATGATAGCCAAAAGATGGAAACAACCCAAATGTCCATCAAACAGATGAGTAAACAAAATGTGCTATGTCTGTATGCTGAAATACCCTTTCTCCACAAAAAGGATGAAATACTGATACATGCTGCAATGTGGATGAGCTTTGAAAACATTATGCTAGTGAAAGAAGCCACTCATTAAAAAAAAAAAAGTGAACCCTACTATATGATCCCATTCATATGAAAATCTAGAATAGCAAAATCTATGAAACATAAAGTAGATTAGTGATTGATTATGGCTGAGGATGGTGTGAGAAAGGTAAGGGATTATAGTTAAAGGTTTCTTTTTGATGTGATAAAAATATTCTAAAATTGACTGATGATGATTGCACATGTCTGTGAATATATTAAAGCCACTGAATTGTACACTTTAAGTGGTTGAATTCAAATGGTTGTATGCTATGCAATTATATCTGTAATTCCTACAAAGAATCACTTGTGTTAAAACCTGGCAACATGGAGCTGGGGAAAGTCATGAAGGCAGGGCTTTCGTGAACAATTTTTCTGATAACAAGAACTATCACAATAAATTTTTCCAAACCAGAGCTTACTATACAAGACACACAAAGACTGCTAGACACTTGTACAAGAACTCCTGCCTCACTGTCTCACAAACTCAAACCAGAACTGCAGGGACCTAGCTGTAACTCCAAGATTACAAGTCCTACCTAGCAATTTACTGACACCTGCCAATCAAAACTCGCCAGCTCTGGAAAATACTGCCAGCACTAATAAGCTTTCTTTCAAAACAGCTTGTATAACCTCCATTTTTCTCAGTAAACTAACATTTTCTTTGTTCTTCAGACATACTGCAGGCCACCCTGGTCAGTATGTATGTCCTGGATCCTACTTATTGTATATTATTACCAAATAAAACCTTTTACTTGGAGATTTGTCTCTGTATATTTTTTAATGCTGATATATCTTTTTTCTTTTAAATTGACACATGATAATCATACATATTTATGGGATACTTAGTGATGTTATGATAACCTATAATGTATAGTCATCATATTATGGTAAGGAGAATGGGAAAAGAGGAGATAGATTAAATTATTTCAAGAAGTTTTTTTTTTTTTAAAAGGAAGTAACAGGAAATAATAATGGGAAAACCACAGAGAATAGATGAAGCTACAAGGGGGAAAAAATGAGAGAAGTGCCGAGTTGAGGAAGGTCATGTCCGGTGGTTTTAGCCTTAGTGTATAGTAGAGGCAAGGTCACCTAGAGAGAGTGAAGGGCTGCAGAATCAGAAGCTCAGGCTATTACCTTGAGCATCAGGTCTCTTGATACTAAGAAGTTTATATAAATGTTTAATAGAAATAATCTACTTTTTCTCTGCAATACTTGGGCAGCTTAGCCACAGACACATAGATATAGTAAGAGGTTTGAAAGGAAGGTGAATTCGAAAAATCAGGATGCTTACAAAAACACCTTGAAATGGATTGCTGTGGATAGAAGACATATGAGCTGGTGGGCTGTTGAAGAATGAGTGGGAAAGGACATAGCATGGGTTACAATAAGGTCAGAGAATGAGTCCTTTGCAGTAAAATCTACCCCCTGTGGATAGACAAAGCCCAACAAGATTTGGTCCATCTATTTCTCTGATGTTATCTTGTACTACCCTCCTGTTACTTGCTCTGCTCCTTTGGCAAATACAGTCAGGCATAGACCCTCCTCAGGACCGTTGTACTTGCCGTTCTTTTCTCGTGGAAGGCTCTTCCTCTGAAAAACTGCACACCTTGTTCTCTCTTCCCTTTGGGTCTCATCAGTAAGCCTTATGCTGCCTTGTCTCATCTAAAAAAAATGTGAAAGGACTTAAACGTATTCTCTATCCTCCTTGCTTTATTTTTCTCTTAGCACTTATCATTATCATATTCCATATTTAACTTATTTTAAGATTTCTACTTATTTTTTGTATATCTTGTAATTATGTAAGCTTTAAGATGAAAAGGATTTTTTTTTTTTAAATCTGTGTAGTTCCAGCTACTTGGAAGGCTGAGGTGGAAGGATTGCTGGAGCCCAGCAGGTCGAGTCTGCGGTGGCCTGGAGTGTGCCACTGCACTCCAGTCTGGGCAATAGAGTGAGACTCCAACTAAAAAAAAAAAAAGAAATCTGAGTTCACTACTATATCTCTGCAACTAGAAAATACTTGGCAAATTGTAGAGATTTAATAATATTTGTGGGAAGAAAAGAGATAGAAGAGGTACATGTGGAAAATTGCCTTTAAGCTTAGAGATCTTAGAGGTGGAGCAGTTCAAAATGATTTTTCAAATTTGGAAGCTGTTTAGTAAAGCCAAAATAAAGGTCATTCTAAATGTAGACTTCTTTTTTTTGAGTTGGAGTCTCACTCTGTCGCCCAGACTGGAGTGCAGTGGCTGCTCCCGGCCACTGCAGCCTCGACCTACTGGGC